ACAAACTGATGCACATATGGGATCCCAGTGTTTGCAAGGCGAGGACTTTAGTTGCTAGGCTACCGCGCTGGGCCCTACCTGCCTATTCTTGAGCTGCCTAGCAGGTACCCAGGTATGTTGTGACCACTGGCTAATGGCAGGAAGGATCAGGCAGAGACTGAAAGGTGAACTAGAAAAAAGTGGTTGGGAAGGATAGAGTGTGAAAGAAGGGATTCTAGGAAGCTAAGAAGTGAGTGTCTGGGCCTTAGGGCAGAATGCCTGTTCCTGAGAGGGTAAGCATAGCACCTGCTGAGGGTTGTCTGTATTCTCCTTAGCCTGAGCTAATAAGATGGACGCTAGGAGTCAGCCCCAAGAAAACTGAAGGTACTGTCCTGTGCTCAGTGACACTGGTAGCATGTGCCAATCCAGGATTGCTTGATGAGGCCAGGCTGAGCCTTGCTCCATAGGAGGCAGGCAGTGGCACAAGTGGACCGTAGCAGCAAGGACCCCTGTTGCGCTTTTATCAGAGGCCAGCATTTCTCATAGTGGCCCAAGGATGTTTTCATTAGACATAACTCCAGAGTTCAACTAAGTGGCCTTTTGCTATTCATTTATTAAATAAGTTTGTATTACCTTCTGTTAGATGCCAGTTAAAGAGCGTCTATTTAAAGGCAACAGGCAGAAGTGACTGATAGCCAGGAGGGACAGGTCAGCCTTCAGTGTCACAGTGACACACGTTCCACATACAAACAGGAGGCGTGTCCCAGGAAGCAGGTGCTGTGGGTGTCTGTGTTGCTGAAATGAGTGTATCTAAATGACAGGCGTCGTAACTTCCACTTATTCCTTACACAGGGCCATGCTAATCTCTGTATCGTTCCAATTCTAGTATGTGTGCTGTTGATGTGAGTATTCCCTTACTCCTGAACTTGTGCCTCACTCACACACTGTGAGTGTATGCTCTGCAGCTTGGGCTCTCTCGGTCTGCTAAAAGGTTTGGTGTTTCCATCCCGAGTCCAAGATTTTGGTCTGAAGTAGCTTGAATGTTAGTTGCATTAAATCTTGTCTTTTGACAGACCCGCCTAAGAGCCTGCTTGTATCCTTTCTCTCAACTTGTTCCACCACTTTATGGCTGGGTGGGTGGGTGGAGACACAGCTTATCAGTTAGGGTGTTTGTAACCCACACAGGAGCACCTGGGTTTAATACCTGCCCCCGGTTCCTGATTCCGGCTGTCTGTTAACCCAGACCTGGGTGGGAGCAGTGATAGTTCAAGTCGTTGGATTCCTGCACCTGCACGGGAGACCTGGAGACAGTTCCTGACCGTTGTCTTCACTGGCCCTTGGCTTAAGGTGGACAAATCCCAGCTGGCGTGGCTTTTTTTTTTTTTTTTAATCTTTCTGACAGGTTTTCCTTTGTTACCCGGGCCTCATACACAAACTATAATCCACAACTCATCCTGTAGCAGTCTACAGCTCACATTAGCCATTGAATGCAAATAAGTCTCGATCAAAGAAGAGAGGAAATTAAAATGTTCAGGGTGTACCTCCTCTGATTGGCTGGGCAGCCCCCATGACTCTCCTACATACTTAATGCCCTTGGCACATGGGTATTTCATGTGGGCAGGGTGAAACTGGCTGTGGTCAGGGTGAGACTTTAAGCTTTTGATTTATTCCCTTATTTTGAGAGGGTTAAAAAGGCATTACCTATTTTTGTGTAATTTTAGTACTAGTATTAATTCTGGTGACGTGAAAGTGAAGATGAAAAGAGTGCTAAATCATTGTTACTAGATCCATGTCCTTGCAGAGAAGATGTTCTCAAAAGGCAAGTTTCGATGATTTGACACTTGATTTTGTGTTTTCCTGCTCTGATTTCTTTCAATAATGGCTTTGTTGAGATACAACTCACAGACCATGACACCGATCCTTCCATCCTTGGATCCTTCGGGAGGAGGCAACTCAGGAGTTAGTCTGTTCCTAGCCCTCATGCGACATTTTGTCACCATCAAAAGAAACACTGTACCCACTCACACACTCTTGCCCTGGCTCCAGTGCTCCAACCCCTAGCAACCAGTAACCCATTTTTGCCTTGGTAAATTTTCCTGTTTTCAATATTTCATTTAGGTAGAATTATACCCTGTGTGGCTTCCTATATCGGGCCTTTTTGGCCTAACACGTGGCCTGGGGACGTCCAGGTTGTAGTTTGTTTCCTTTTGGGGTCAGTAGTCTTCACTGTGGGGGTCCTCCCCTCAGTGGACAGACGTTTGAGTTGCTTCCCCTTCTTTGCTGTTATGAAGTCACTGTACACAAAGTTTTCTCTGTTCATGTTTCAGTTCTCTGATACATACCTAGTCTCATTGGATCTTACACTGTGTTTCACCACTTGAGAAACTATAAAATTGTTTTCCAAAGTGGCTGCGTCATTTTCCATTCACAACAGTAAGGATTTCAGCTCATTGTTGTCATTGTCTTCTTCCTTTTCCTCTTCCTCTTGCTCCTTCTCCTTTTAAAATTTTCATTGGAAAGTCAGATTTGCAGAGAGCAGGAGAGATAGAAAGAAAGATCCTCCATCTGCTGGCTTACTCCCTAAATGGCCACAACAGCTGGAGCTGAACTGAGCTGAAACCAGGAGCCAGAAGCTTCTTCTAGGTCTCCTACGTGGGTGCAGGGTCCCAAGGTTTTGGGCCATCCTTGACTGCTTTCCCAGGCCACAAGCAGGGAGCTGGATGGGAAACAGGGCTGCCAGGATGGCATAAACTGGGCCCCTAGGTTTTGTTTTTGTCAGCATTTGTTATCATCCAATTTATAGGTTGTATTCATTTACTTTATTATTATTATTTTTTTTTTTACTATTTCTGCATATATGAGGACGCGCACACACAGGAGCATATAATGGAAAGCCAACAGCTTCCAGCCCTACTTCGCTCCCTGTCACTGATGTCCCATTCCTGTACCTGTGAGGGGCTTGGAGGAGTGCATGCTGGGACCTGATACTGACCATGGTCTAACCGAGAGCCTGGAGTCAGGCACCTCAGGGTAGGTGCACAAAAAATGGTTCCCTGGGAACACTGCCCAGGTGACAGGCTGTGCCGCAGTGTTCTCTGTCCCACCGCTACCCTGTCCCAGGCCTGCTTTTCATCCTTGGAGAAAACCTGCATCCTAAAGACCTAGAAAAAGAAAGCAAGTTCATGAGAACTAGGAAGCGTTTCTATGTTTAGAACCACGTTATCGTGTACTCTGTCTCACTAACTAGAAGACCCAGTGTCTGTTCTCACAGGTTGTTTAGAGACCCGGGAAGAAGGAATGTAAGGAAAGCTTACAATGTCCCTTCTGCCTTGGACTCCTGATCCTCGGTCCCCTGAGGCTTTTCCCTGTAACAGTGCTCTGTGCCCCAAGTCCTGAGATCCAAAAACATCCACAGCATTCCCAGAAAGTTTTGTTTTGTTTTGTTTTGTTTCCAAGTTGTCTAAATGCTTTCATGTTAATTCTAAATATTTCTTGATTCATTCACTGCTGGGGTTTTTTTTCACTTTTCACCATGAAAATTTTCCAACACATATAAAAGCAAAATAGTTCAGGCCTGGCATGATATCCTCGTGGCTCAAAGTCTTCACTTTGCATGTGCCAGGATCCCAAATGGATGCCGGTTTGTATTCCAGTGGTCCCACTTCCCATCCAGTTGCCTGCTTGTGGCCTGATAAAGCAGTGGAGGGTAGCCCAAAGCCTTGGGACCCTGCACCCACTTGGGAGACCTGGATGAGGCTCCTGGCTCCTGGCTTCAGATCAGCTCAGCTCCGACCATTGTGGGTACTTTGGGAGTGGCCCATTGGATGGAAATCTTCTTCTCTTGTCTCTCCTCTTCTCTGTATATCTGACTTTCCAACAAAACAAAACAAAACAAAACAAACCCAGAATAGTTTGATCAACTACCACATATTCATCCCCAACTATAACACCATCAACTTTGACCACTCTTACAAATTTTTGATTTGTTGAATGGATAGCATGTATTTCATTCCATATTGAAACAGTGAAGGTTTACCTTATTAATTCTACCCCCTCTCAAATTATTTATAGTAAGCTCTTTTTAGTTGTTGTGTTAACCTTAAAGGTGTCATGAATAATTACATCTCATGTTCTTCTGTCAGTGTTAATGTTATGAAGCTGTGTTAGTGCCCAGCCTCTGTCTGCCAGCTGTCTCCAGCAGTTCTTTTTGTCCTGTCAGGTGGTTGGTGGTTGCAATCGTTTGTCTACTGCATGTTGTCTGTTAGTTCTGAGACTTGAGAATCCAAAGATTTATTATGGGTTTAAATATTGTTCGCTGGGGAGCCTGGTAGTGTGTGAGGATTACTTGTGTTTTCTGCAACCTCAGTGAAGGGAGATGAATGATCGCATCATACTTTTGGTTTAGATACACCTGACAGTAGAGCTCACGGACCCACTGAGCAGGCTGTCTTATCATTTATATCTCTCATGGCCTTGTATTTAATTACTCTGCAGTATCTCCCCAACTATAGAGGGAACTCCTTAAGAAAGAATGGCCTTGGACCTGGCACAGCAACCTCACGGCTGAGATCCTTGCCTTGCATGCACTGGGATCCCTTATGGGTGCCAGTTTGTGTTCTGGCTGCTCCACTTCCCATCCAGCTCCCTGTTTGTGGCCTGGGAAAGCAGTCAAGGACGGCCCAAAGTCTTGAGACCCTGCACTCAGGTGGAAGACCTGGAGGAGGCTCCTAGCTTCAGATCGGCTCAGCTCTGGGCATTGTGGCCACTTGTGGAGTGAACCAGTGGATGGAAGATCTTTCTCTCTGTCTCCTTCTCTCTGTGTATCTGACTTTCCATTAAAAGAAAATAAATCTTTTTTAAAAAATGGTCTTTCAGTTTGGCTGCTTTAAGTAAAATGAGTTTTCCTGAAAGTTGCATATCTCGGCTTTGAAAAGTAAACTTAATCATCATTAAATAGCATTGCTGTTAGATTATACATATACTTTATTTTATGATGAATTATAAATATATAAATATTAAAATATAAAATCATCAAAATTTATAAATTAAAATAGTTAGCTTTGATGCTTTGAGTATTTCTTTTGCATTGTCGTCTTTAGCCTGTCCAGGAAGTCTTCCAGTGTAGTCTGCGTGGCTCCCTTGGAAGGGCAGTTGTTCTGTGAAAGAAACATTTTGTTAGCTTGCATCAGGTGGCGTTTGTGTTGCTTTCATGCCTACGGACTGGTCCAGGCAGGGCCTCTGGCACTTGCCACCTGAACAGCGCTCAGTCCCGGCATCCTTGCCGGTTAGCTGGGACTCTGACTGCCAGCAGGCCAGATCCAAAATAGGATCTGCATGTTGTGAGTACACACTCAACTTCCAGAAGTGGTTTTTGTACTACCACCATGTGTCAGCTTTTGTTGGGCAGGCAGTGTGTTGGTGGTGATGTCACAACCTCTGGAGACGTATTACAGTGGGGTACTGCTCCAAGGGAGTGACATGAAAGTGCACTCAGACCTGTCCATGGCCGTACTGGGCCCTCTGCATGGCTGCTTGACTTGCTGAAAGATTTAGCCATGCTGCCCTCCTGCTCCTTGGTGACCCGCAGTGTGTGGCACTACAGGTGGAAAGGATTCCAGGTCACCACTTGAGTTTGAGTTGCATAAAACAAACTACTTAATTGGTTTTTTTTAAAAAAATAAGTTTCTTCTTATGTAATGTGGGACCAGTAGAGCCTACCCTGAGATGAGAGGTTTCCAGACAGGCCCTGTTGGTTGCCCTGATATTTTCAGTAAGTGTGAGGCCCAGGAGGGGAGAAATACCCCTGCTCTTTTCTGAAGCCAGCTCCTCTGCGAAGCTCCAAGGTCTGCTGTCCTTTCCTGGTTTCCTCCCTCTCTTGCATTAACTTTGCTTGTGTCTTGGAGTCTTCTTCCTGGTACCCCAATATTCTGTATAGGCTCCCCACCTTGAAAGAGCTTACTTCTCCATACCTGCTCTTTGGTAACTATTAAACATATCAAAAGATTTTTCTGTATTCACTGTCCTTTACTCACCGCTTCCCACTCCAGCCTCTGTTGTATCTGTTCCATTAGGCTTGCATCTCTGCCTCTCCCATTACTCCCATCCATTCCCACTTGTATCCGTATCATCTGTGCTATCCATCATGCCAAACCCACTGCCCATTCCTACCACTCCCTCCTTAAGAGTGTTTTCCCTTACCTTGTGGGGCACCACACACTGCACAACTGTGGACATGTCCCTGGTCTCCTGTGGTCTGTGACAGGACCAACCATTGCCACAGGGGCCCAGGCAGGAACTATAAGGTCATCTGTTAATTTTCATTCCCTATAACTAAACTGATTTTCCAGCAAAGGCTCCTTGGCCATGTTCTTTAGTAATGCCCCAGATTCAGCCACCTTCAGAGTCACCGTCCTGTTCAAGCCACTACTGCCTTTATACTGGCTTATGGCAGCTTTCTGACCAAAATAATAATAATAGCAATAATAATAATAAATACTGTACGTGCACTCAGCTTGCTTACCATACCATGCATGACAAGAGTGGTCACTGAAGGGCCTGGCTCAATGGCTCGATGACTAAATCCTGGCTATGCAAACACTGGGATGCTGTATGGATGCCAGTTCATGTCTCAGCTCTTCCCATTCACTCCCTGCTATCGTCCTGGGAAAGCAGTAGAGGATGGCCCAATGCCCTAAGATGCTGTCCCCACATAAGAAACCACAAGAAGCTCCTGGTTCCTGGCCTCAGATCAGATCAACTCCGGCCATTGTGGCCTTTTGGGGAGTAAACCAGCAGAAGGAAAATCTTCCTCTTTGCATCTCCTCTCTATAAATCTGATCTCTGACTGAATGCTCTCAGTCCCTCTCATCCACCCACTGATTGTCCTTTTGAGCACAGGAAACTCGATGCTACCCTGGCCTCTGCACAGTTGAACCTTGTGCCTGTTGATCAGGTGACCTGTGTCTTCTCAGTTGCCTGCGTGGATAGCAAAATGGACTAAACCAGTCCTGCCCACTCTGACTCCCGTGTCATTTCTGTGTTTTTCTTCATAGCATGTTTCATTACTGAGCAGTTTGTGTTTGAACACACCATGAGAGCAATAGACTCCGCTTACTTATCTTTATTCATTCGTTTCCTTGCGAGAGCTTTCTCCACTGGCTGAGTCTTCAGATGCCTGCAGTGGCCCCTGGCCGGGGCTGAAGCCAGAGGCTAGGAGCACAGTCCAGATCCCACTGCTTGAACCGTCAGTGCTGCCCGCTAGGGCGTGCATCACCCGGAAGCTGGAGTCTGGCGCTGGAAGTGGGAATCCCAACCAGGCACCATAATGTGTGATGTGAGTATCTTAACTGCTGGGATAACTGTGTACCCCTGCCTGTTTTCTTTAAGGCCTATTATCTCTAGTGTTTCAAAGAGAACCTGGCACTTGTAATGCCCCAACAGATGTTTACTGGATGAGTCAGTGAGCTGGTTCATCAAGGTTACTACATCTGAACAGGAGCAGTCAGGAGGGAGGCTGTGTGCGCAGAGCCCAGCTACCTGCCGCATCCTTACCATTCTTGCCATGCTGCAGAGGTTCCTGTCGAGTCCCTTCAGGTATCTGAGAACGTGTTGCTCTCCATGCTGGGTGACACACTGGAGCGTGCGCTGATGACGGTACAACTGCCGGAGTGCAGTCGCAGCCCTGCAGAATGCTTCCTTCTCAGTCGTGTTCTAGAAAAGAAATGACAAACACATGCTGTCTCTGTTCTAAATGTGGGAGCAGTGTTTTCACTTCCTGATTTCTTTCCGGGAGGACCAGTGCAGAGGGTGAGGCTGCTTCACTGTGGATCTGTAGCCAAGCACTCCTGTGTGTGCCCTGACCTGCAGCTTCTCCAGAAACCTCTCGCAGCCACCTCCCTGCTCATTCAGCCACCTCCCTGCTCATGCAGCCACCTTCTCTCTACAACTCCTCAGTCTCTTTTCTCTTGGAGGGTTTTGCCATGGGATACCCCACGAAGTAAGTGGGCAGGGGAAGGTGAGCTTTACATCTGAGGCTCTGCAGTCTGCATAGAGGCGTGGGAGCTCTTCTTTCTGTGGAAGATTCTACTTTTCATTCCTGCAAGGTTTTAGGATCCAGCTTTCCCTGGGAATCTTACTGCTCGTTGACTAAATGAATGCCAGACCTTTGGCCTGGAAAAGGCTGTTGTGGGCAGCACTCTCCATTTGCATCCTCACAGGAGACAGCAGTGCATGTAGAAGTTTGTAGCGAAGTGTGGAGCTGAGACTTAGCCCCCACTACAAGAGAGAAGTGCTAAGGCTGTCAGGGCAAGGTGCCCCAGAGCTGTGTCCAGGCCAGTCGAGGGGGTGTTTCTGCAAGAAGGTGGTGTTGAGCTGGGCCTCTATAAGGAACAGCACCTCTATAAAGAACCTGTGGCCTGGAGTGTGCGTGCGGAGTGTTGGAGCTTTGATGTGGCACTGCCCACTTCTGGGGGACCGTGGGCCTTAGAAAAAGAAACTGGCTCTTTGGTGGAACCCAGGAGAGGGCTTCTGTGTCAGTCTCACCCGGCCTGTGCTGGTCCTCTTATTTTCTACTGAAGAGCAAAGACATGAAGCCCGGAGAGTGGTCTTAACCTGAGCCCTGCTTCCTTGGTTTCTCCTGACACTCAAGGTGGCAAATGTTCAACAGCAGTGACTCAAAACTTCTGCCAGCCAGAGATGATGACTGTTAAGATTTTGGCAAATACCTTCACAGGTTTTGTTTGTTAGTTTATAGTGTGCTTCCCCTCCCTGCTCCGCCCCCTCCCAAAAATATACAAGAGCCAATTGGGATTGACCCTGTTTTGTAACGTTTTTACACTTAAAATGCTGTACTGTAAGCATTACGTTGGTCAGTGCTGTTTAAGAAGATAGAATTGAGAGCCGCACAGAAGCCAGTTGTGCATTTGTACCATGACTTGCCAGTTCCCTATCATAGCAGGGTTTTTTTTTTTCTGTAGATGATGTGGCAGGTAATCTCTGTGGTTATCTCATTTTCTGTAAGTTAACTGCTAGGGTGCATTTTAAAGTTTTTGAAGGAAGATTTGGACCCAGACTGGGGCACCAAAATCCTCAAGCCTTGCCCCTTTCCTCTCCTTTCTTCCCCTGTGGGGCACCATGCCACAGTGGAAGTTACTCACTCAGAAAGCTGACTAGGTGTCACCCCGGTCCCTGACCGTAGGCAGGAATTTAGAGCAGTGCCAGTTTCTCTAGACTCCAGCAGTCAGGAACCCCCTCATTAGGTGCCACACCTGCCCTGGTGTTAGGTGGCTGGCAGTGGGAGGCAGACACTCCCTGTGTGCCCGGGTGGGAGCAAGCACCCTCCTCATAGAGTAAACAGACCCCAGAAAGCCACGGGAAGAGTCCCTTTGATGATTTTCCCATTGAAAGTGAGAGAGACTTCTCTGAAACCTGAGCTCGGAAGCCTAGGTGTTATGTTGTCTTTTGGTTTTCACCCAAATATGACCACATAATATGGGAGAAGACCCTTTTTATAGACATTGTTTAAAGTATTGTGTAAAGACACTGAATATGAAATACAAGACAAAAAAAAAAAAAACCAACATCAAACGGAAGATGGATGCCAAAGAAGTCATAAAGGCCTTCAAGCCTGGTTCTCTGGCTTTGCTGTGAGAGGATGACTCTTCATGCTGCCCTTGGCTCCCTGCCCACCTGCTCCCAGCTGACCAGGGGTAGGAGGGGCCCCTGCCCGCGGACTCTTTCCCTGAGGGCATGCCAGGAAACGACCATGCGGGGGCGCTGACTCAGACTGCCAATGCAGTTTTGGACTAGCCACATCTAGGGTCATCAAACCTGCCCTATTAGCATTGCATTTGTTATCTCCAGCTCTGCCCAGATTTAGTCAACCGGTTCTGTGCATGGGGAAATCCTTTAAAAAACCCAAACAAAGCTGCTTGTGGTTCAGCCTGTAGCTCTGTGGAGTTGGTGGACTTGGGCTGTCTTTGATAAACAAGAAACACCTCTAAGGGTCCACCCAAGAAAAACGTGCCTGAGCAGCTTGCTGTCCTTCAGGCACGGATTGCCCCAAGACCCAGCATTCCCATAAGCTTGTTCTTGGCAACGGCTCTCCTGAGAATGCTCCCCAAATGAAATTAATACACTAGGGTTTAAAAAGATTCTCCCTTGGGAGCATAAGCTCCTTTTACTCCCACATGCTACTCCTGTGGGGTTTTATTTAGAAAATAACAGCCTTTCCAGTGCTGAGTGTCGGAGGGAAACAAAATGATGGCAGGATGAGGTTAACAAGAGGGGGGGAGCATGCTCTCCAGGGGAGACAGAAGAAATAGGGATGCTCAGAGACAACCAGAAGGATCAGAAAATTTGGAAGCAATGAGTTTACCCAATCTTCCCTAAATCTCAATCTTTCCCACCCTGGTCAACCATGTAATCATTAAAATAAAAAAACAAAACAAAACAGAAAAGAAATGGGGACAGGTGAAGGAAGGCAGTGGGGACTGGCAGGAGAGGTCTGCATATGTGCTGAGAGAGGCATGACTGAGCGATGGCAGCAGCCATGCCTGACCTGTGCTGGGGTGGCGGCCTTCCAGTGACACGGTGCCACCCAGCCTTCCCCTCATCTCTGGAGTTACCATCATGGAAGAGCTGCTGAAGGCCACGCATCTAGTTAACGGCAGAACTGGGACAGAAGCCGTAGTCTGTCTCCCTGGCCGGTCTCTCTATCCCCACCACTGACCCCAGAGCCAGTTCCTCCTCCACCAGTTCCTTCCCTGGCGGAGCTGGAGGCTGCTCAGCATTGCAGCATCTAAGGGAGGTGGGGTCCCAGCTCAGCTGCCTTCAGCCTCCAGCAGCAGCCATCTAGTTGCAAGGACTTAGAAATTATAGAAACATACTATATTGGTTTACATGTACAGATAGAATTTTGTCCTCTGGAATCCCATCCTGATTCAGACTCCTGGAATGATCTTTGATAAAACGAGCTGTTCCAGGGAAAGCCCTGGAGCACAGTCCCCGGGAACAAGCACTGGTGCGTGGCTGAGTCCTGGCCAGGTCAGCCCTTCAGCGTACGCAGAAAGTGTGCACTCAGGAGCACTGGGACTTTCATTCTCACTCGTGTGTTTCCATGAAAACAGGAACTGAAGTGCACCAAGCCATTGATATGGCCCCAGTCATGTGTTTGTCAGAGAAAATACGCTATCAGCTGTCAAATCTATCTCCTCCCACTGCACATGGAGGGGTGGGGGCGAGGCGCAGGGCCATCATGGCCGCTTGAGCAGCGAGGCCGGTAGATGCCCACGCAGTCAGAGCTGGGATGCCTCGGCTCTGTGCGGCAGGATGGTCCCGGCACAGGCTGGAGGGGGCTGAGCTTGGCAGGACAGGGCAAGCCGAGGGCTTAGGGGCAACCAGGCCGGGACCCCAGGGCGCTGTGAGGTGACCAGCGTGTGAGAGAGGAGGGGACAATAGCTCTTCTGTTGCTGTAGGAAGTCTCTTAGACAAAATGAAAGCTCCCTTAACCTGTAATCTCAATTTCTGCTTTTCTGTGAGAATATCTGGTTTTTCAGAAATGTATGTGCCAAAAAACTTCCCTCATTCAACAGGTATTTGTTTTTCTTGACCAGGACCTATCTGTATTACAAAATCCAGGCTTTGTCACACACCTTCTAAGTCAAGTGAAACCAGAAACACCAAAACACGCTCCTCAACAGTGAGAAGCATAATTCTTGTTCTTTGAAAACATGTAACACCTCACAGACAGCCTGGGCCTGCCCATTTTCCCTCAAGCAGTTTCTTGTTCCAACTCTGTGGACAGCTCCCCCCGCATCAGCCCCTCTGCCCGAGCAGGCACAGTGCGCTTCTTACCTTGGGGACAGCCAGGGCGTCAGCAATGGTCAGCTTGGTGCATGGAGACTGGCCCCGGCGGGAACAGGAGAACAAAGAGACAGAGTTAACCTCCCACTGGACCCGAGGAGCGCATCTCAGCCCCTGCCCCCTGGGGCCCACAGCCCCCCACAGGCTCCCGGTCCTGCCACCCGCTGCAGGCCAGCAGCCTCCTGACAGGGCTCGTGCCTGGCACACACGGCGTACGTAAAGATTGTGCTAGATAGCACGGATACTCACCTTCCTCTCTGTGAGGAGGTTCAGGGTTTTGATGACCTCTGGTAGGATGATGTCGCCCCTGTAGCTGTGGACGAGGTGACCGGTGCCTGCCAGGAGGCAGAGGAGGGTGACAGGCAGGTGACAGGGGAGCCCCATCAATAGAGCTCGGTGTGCGGGATGCTGAGGGACAATGAGTTTATCAATAGACACCACCGATGCATTCTGATGAAGATTTCTCTATATATAGAGTTAAAATTGCTGAAACTGAGGAAAAATAAGTTTACATTGGAAATTTTCGTTACACCAGCTTGTCAGTTGCTGGTGGCCAATCAGCACCTCTCTTCCAGGAGAAAAAGTGCCTCAGAGAAGTAGGTAAAATGTTCCTGTGAAATGAGACCATAGGAAAATGAAACCTTTTTTTCTAAAACTAACTACAAAGTTTCAGCATAGGAAATTACACCATAATTTGCTCTTTAGATTAATCTTATCAGCTCAGGGTTGCTGCTGGCTTTTTGCTTTGCATAGAAGGAAGAGACCACAGGTGTCCGAGTTTGCTTTAGTGCAGTCCTTCTGGGGGAAAGATAGAGTAATATCAAGAAAGGTTGACTTGCACAGCGCTTCAGCCTGGCTTCTTCCAGGTATGGGTGGCGACTTGGAAATTCTCCTGTCATGGAGAAGTTGACCCAGGGCGCTTTCCTCAGGAGAAGGGGATCCCCTCCTCACCTCCCTGGAGCCAGCGGTTTCTGAAAGTGGAAGGCCGGAGAGAAGCCAGGTAGCATCAGGTGAGGCCGTGCGCTGGATGCCCGGGGCAAGGTGTGACCACCTGTAGATCTGACATCCCAGCTAGGAACAAAAAGACCGCTGTGTTACCAACGTGCGTGTTGTCAGTTGTCCGTGTTCCTCCCCAACACTCCTGATTGTGAGTCTCATTCCCTGAACTTGGTGAGGCATTTGCACACCTTGACAGTGACCCTAAGGATCCTGTGTTGGCTCAGGTGCCTGGGCACCCCGTGCAGGGTCCCCTTCCCACCTGGAGAAGGGGCTCAGACACAGCAGTCACCCAGGCCGAAGGGCCATCTGCCTTCCTTCCACTCCCCCATGCTTGGCTTCTAACCTTCTCTTCACTCAACCACAGAATCACCTGGAAATGTTTGGACTGAGAGCTTTTCCCCCCTTTTATTATTTTTTTACTTGACAAATAATATGTACCTACTTATGGTGCTTTAAGTACATATGTCTAAGTATATAAGTACTTCTATATGTTAATGTTTTTAAAGTGGTAGACAGTGTGGAGTTGCTAGATCAAGCTTTAGTTACCTTGATTTTCATGACCATATTGTCTGACTTGTGATAAGGACAGTCAGAACTTCGCCCTCAGGGTTTGTGAGTGTGGGGGACCAGTTCCAGCTGCCGTCACCATGTCACTCAACACAACCCCCAAACTCCTCTCCCTGGCATTGGAGAGTTTGGGACCAGCATCTCCCCATGCCCTGCAACCTCCACCCTGCTCTCTGCTTCCATGGGTGTGACGGATTTGTAGTCCCCACAGATAGGGTATTTCCCAAAGATTGTGGGAAAAGCGGAATGAGCTGCTGATGTGCGTCTCCCACAGACTTTCTGCTTGGCCTCACATGTGCCCTCACACGTGTTGGCCTCTCTGAGCCTGACCCCAGCTCCCCGATACTGTGGCAGCTCAGACTCCCTTCTTTCTCAAGGCTGCATAGTATTCCCCCGTGTACATCCAGCCTCGGCGGGAGCCCACCTCTTCCCCCGGAGCTGTGTAGCGAGGCTGCCAGACTCAGCAGGCACTTCTGACAGCCGGGGCTGAACCATGCCCTGCAGGGAGGGCCCCAGCCGCAGCTCAGGGGTCCCCAGGCTGCAACGTTGGATGCTCACACTGCCCCCTCAGCCTCGGTAATTTGCTGTCATAACTCAGGAAAGAGCCCGAGTGAGGTCACAGTCATTTGACAGCAGATATGCAAATGAAGACCAACCCCAAGAGGAAACACCCAGGGTAGGGGCCAGGCAGATCGTCTTTCCACAGACCCCAAGTATGCCATACACTCAGCTCCTAGCCTGACGGGCAGCTGGTCCCGTAGCCAAGGAGATCTGCTGTGTTCCTGGACTGGGTTATAGATGTGTGAATAGCTGAATGAACCACTGGCCACCCAGCTGGACTCGTTCTCCAGGCTGGTGCCACAGTAGTTCAGTGGCATGGCTGGACCCTCTCTGTTACCCCATCTCACTGCACCCCAGAACACTAGCAGAAGCCATCAAGGCTCTCTGCCTCCCAGGAACTTGCGAAAGAAATTTCCAAAGACATTCCCAGAGTTTTAGCCCATTGGACCCTTTAGAGTCAAAACACCGGCCAGCTCTGTGTGGGGGAAGTTGGTTCTTTCCTACGGACAGACTTGGTGGGCTTCGTATCAGGCCAAGCTGAGGGTCCCAAGGCTGCAGGCAGAGCAGGGGTGGGCTGTGGAGTGGCCAACCAGCTTGGTGCCCCACTGGAAGGTCTGGAGGGAGGCAGATGCTGGGGAGAGATGGAACAAGGTAGAGTCTGCAGTGTCCTGGTAGCAGCTGCTGGTATGTTTGACAGATGTTTGTCCAAGATGTCATGTGGGCTTAAGGCTGTGCAGGTCAAGCTGGGAAACCAGGAACAGAATGTGTAGGCCTCTGGTTCAAAAGCAGGGACCAGAGGTTATCTTGTTCCTTCCAACAGGTTGATCAGGCCAGGGGGAAAAGGACAGTTTTCTAAATGTCAGAAAGTGACTGAGGAAGGGGGCCAGAGAGAGATGGGTCATTCTGCCCTGCAGTGGCAGTTTCTGGGGTTGCTGTTTTGCACTGTCCCATAGCAGAGCCCCAAGCTGACCAGAATACCAGGCAGTGCCTGGGCAGGAACCCAACCTACATCCATCCATTCATCCTGTTTCTAGGCCCTATCACCGTCAACAGAAAAGTCATTCATCGGCTCTGTGCTGTGGACAGGTCAGGAACTCTTTGCAGTCTTGATTTATTTGTGAAATGGGGATCATGACAGGATTCTTGTGAAGAAACAGAGGAAGATTCTAGGAAAGCACTCAGTATGTGTCACACCCCAGGGATCGGTTACCACTGGAGCAGGGGATGCCAGGGGAGGGCTCCAGGCCAGGCCTAGCTGCTCAGGCTCTCTCCACCCTGGGGGGCTTGGGAAGGTAGGGGTGGTCCATGCACCTGTGTCGTGAGGTAGCTATGAGGAGTACGTTTTACAGTACTTAGGATACACCTGCTGCAGCCCTGTCACTATCGCGATTGTTACTGTTATTGACTGTATCTTAGCTTGGGCACATGGCTATGGTTCTTAATTTCCCGAGCACATCCTAGACGAGGCAGGGCTACAGAGGTTTTATCAGCTGGCTGGTGAGGGACAGGCCTGCTTGCTTCCGGTCAGTCACAGCCAGTTGCTACACAGCAGCTGTCAGACCTCCATCTCCAGATCTGTGGGCAGGAAACAGACCCTGCTGTGGTTATTTCCACAAGAAAGGACTTGATGCAGGAAAGCAGGTGCTCATTAAACAGAGAGAACAGGACGATCGGGCTCTGGGTGGCCCGATCAGGGCACTCCTGGACAGACCCCTGGGAGAAGGCCTGCCTCCGTGGCTGCCTCTGGCGTTTCAGCTGCAAGCTGGGGTGCCCAGAGCTGTTCCCCAACACCCACCAGAGGGCTGCAGCAGAGCACCCTTCTGTGGACCCGCAGCCCAAGGAACATGGAGACAGCACCAGCCTCCCTGCCCAGGTGTCGCCACCATCCTGCTGTGTCCCGCATATGCCCTGCCCAGAATCCTCACTCCCCATGGCCAGTAGCCTCCTAGTGCTACCTATGCCCTCTGCAAGGGGGAGGTGGGGCGGCATGAAGAGACATTTAAGCAGAGACTGGGCCAGGCAGGTTTCTTTGAGGAGTACAGGCTGGAGAGTGGGGACAGGGCACTGTGTGTTGGGGCTTGAGGCCAGGGATTTACTGGGACCATGGTGGAACTCAGGAACTTGGGGAGTCTGGCAGGGGCATGGACAAGGAAACCTGAGAATTGTGCACTGGTCCTAGGAGCAGGGAAGCTGTGTGGATTGAGTGGGACTGGAGAGGGGAGCTGGGGTTTCAGAGCCCCTGGGCAGCCGTCGAGTGACCAGATTAGGACCATGTGCCCTGGACTCGACAGCCTCAGCTCGTTCCCAGGGCCAGCTCTGCCATGTCCTCTCCCGGTGACACGGGGTAAGGCAGCCTGTCCAGCTTTCTCCCTGAGGTGCAGCTCATTGTGGAAGTGTAGGTCAAATAGGCAGCCTCTGGTGTGGTGCCTGGCAGGCTCACAGTAAACCCTTGAGAACCTGTCTGCTGTCATTGCCATCATGCTTACTGCTGGCTGAGCTGTCTCACCTGGCTCCCCGGGCCTGCCTTGGGGGCGGCCACTCACAGAGATGGCCTGGGGAGGAAAGAGGGTGACCGAAGTGGCCACTGCTCAGTTCCGGCTCCAAGCATACAGAATGACTGAGCCATGGGGGAACATTCAGTGCCAGGGAACATAGGAAGAAAGGGGCCAGGGATGGGTGCTGTGCAGAGCAGAAAGAAGTGGGACCTGCAGTGGGTGGGAAGTGCTGGGTGTGGGCTCAGCCCAGGGCACCTGTCACACACATATGCAACTGCCCCAAAGTCCACCTTTGCATAGGGCTCAGGAGCTGAGGGAGGGGCAGAGAGATGAAGCAGGATCAGCTCTGAACCACTAGTTGTTGATGGAGGTACCTGGGGGATACCGTTTTTGTGTGTTTGAAATGGTTTGTACTAAGAGGTCAGAAGATTGTATATGAAGACCCAATTTCCATATATATGTTTGGTATTTATATGTGATGTTCACATATATGTCAATCTTGTATATTTGTGTGACTAATATGAAGAATAGACATATCTGTAATTACATGATAGGAATATGTAGAATGCATGTGCACACACACACATGCCCAGCATGCATGCCTGCCTTGCCGCGCCTCATCCTCTTGTCTTCCTCTGCCCCCCAACCTTCACCTCCCACAGCAGCCAGAGGGTCGTGCCGGCACCTCCGTCACACGGCATCCTTTGTCTCACCTCTGGAGGGAGAAGGGCCTGTGCTGCACTGTGCATCCTTCTTGGCTCCAGCCACATGGGCTCCCACAAATGCCAGGAAGAGCATGCTCCACTCTCTGCAAGCCTCCTCCCTCCATCCCTGCTCTCACCTGATCTCCGCTTGCAGCCCAGCAGCCCTTGCTGGCCCCTCTCCTCCATGGCACGTGGGGCCCTGAGGTGCCGCATGATCCAGGCTTGTTG